AATAAAAGGATAAACCATCAATTTGAAATCTCACCTTTTCTAAGGGAGATCTTGTCCACGGGGAAGAAAAGAAGAGAGAGATATCAACTTTTACTCTTTTCCCCTTTTTAAATCCCTAATAGGGATATATTTTAATTTCCCCTTAAAAGACCAAAGTGCCATCTTTATTCATCTTTTTATACAATTTAGTTCAAACACTATTCCCAATCATTTTCTCATCTTTTAGCATTTATTCAATTAAATCCCCAAAAATTGAAATCTTTTCAATAAAGTCCCTTATACAATATTTGGGGCATTACAGAAGGTTTTTTTCAAAGAATAATGAAGAACACAAATGAATTTCTAGAGAGAATGTAGAGAATTTTGAGAGAATCAAAGAGTTAGAGAGAGAGAAAAATGGGAGAATGAATAAAAAAAGGAGAATAAGGAAAAACAAATTTACCATATATATTTCGCTATGTTCGGGTCAGGTTCAAGATCCGCGTGTTTTTTAAACTTCATTTGAAATTGTAGCGTTGTCCCCTTGTTTTAATTTTATTCAATTTAGTTAAACTTTAATGATTCAATTTAATCATTATATTTTAAATTCTTTCAATTTCATCCCTATATAATTTATATTAATAAACTATAATTTATATTAATAAATATTTAATTAATAGATTTAATATAAACTATCATTTATAATTAATATTAATATAAAATATAGTTTATAAAATTAATATTAATATAGTATATGATATATAGACTATAATTAATATTAATACTATATACTATATTAATATAAAATATAGTTAATATGTTAATATTAATGTAAACTATAGTTTATAAAATATCTACTACATTAATACAAATTATAGTTTATAAACTATATACTATATTGATATAAATTATAGTTAAGATAATTAACATTAATATAAATTATATAGTACATTAATATAAAATATAGTTTATAAATTATATATTATAGTTTATAAATTATATACTATAGGTTATAAATTATTTAGTACACTAATATAAACTATAGGTTACATATATAGTTTATATAAATTGTAAATAAATTGTATATATACATAATATATATACTATAAGTTACATATATAGTTTACATATAAATAGATTGTATATATACATATACTTGTATATACTATACATAGTTTATACATACATATACTATAAGTTACATATATAGTTTACATGTATACATATACTATATGTTATATATATTAACTATTGTTTATGGACTATAGGTTAATGTTACATATATAATTTATATAAACTATTGTTTATAAAAATTATATATCAACTATCAACTGTGTCTACACATATATGGTTTATATAAATTATATATCAACTATTGTTTATAGACTATAGGTTATATATATAGGTTATATAAATTATATATAAACTATTCTTTATAAACTATAGGTTACATATATATATATAATTTATAATAACTATATTATATCAATATAAATTATATTTTATAAACTATATACTTTATATAGTTTATATATATATATTTTATATAAACTATATAGATTACATACATAGTTTATACATATGTAGCTTATATATAGATTATATATATAATTTATATCTATATAGTTGATTTATATAATTTATATACATATTTTATACATATGTAGTTTATATCTATATAGTTGATTTATATAATTTATATACATATTTTATACATATGTAGTTTATATAAACTATATAGTTTATATATATAGTTTATAATATCCATATAGTTTATATATATAGTTTATAATAACTATATAATTTATATTATATATATAGTTTATGCATAGTATTTCTATAAACTATATACTTTATTACTTTATATATATATAATCTATAGATTACATATATTAGTTATACATACATATATATATACTATATTAATATAAATTATAATTTATAAACTATATACTTTATATAGTTTATATACATACATATATATACTATATTAATATAAATTATAGTTTATAAATTATATACATTTTATAGTTTATACACATAGTTTATATAAACATAGTTTATATATATAGCTTATAATAATTATATAGTTTATATATAATTTATATATAAACTTATATTATATTAATATAAATTATATACTTTAATATTTTATATAGTTTATATATTGTTTACACATAATTCATTAATAAATTTTGCAATTTATATATAAACTATATAATTTTTAATGTAAATTATTTATATAGTAATATATAAGTACTTAATTTACTAAATATATAAACTATATACATAAATCTTATATATTATATATTTATATATAAAAATTACATAGTTTATTAATAAACTACATGTAAACTACATATAAACTATATATATATATATATAAAATAATTAATCCAAAAATAAAAACGACCCGACTTAAACTCAATCCGTATTTGGTAAACATTCGACCTGAATTTTATTTGTTAATGATGTGACCCGATCTGAATGAGATCCGACTGAAGTTCACTCAAACCTGAATTAGCCTGGTCTTTATCTGCTTCAGACCTGAAATGTTTTGACCAGAACTGACATCGATCCAAACTGAAAATGACCCGACCTTAACCCAATTTAGATCTGGTGTCAAATCAACCTAAAAATGACAAGAACTGATTTGACCTGCACCCGATCTATCCAAGTCAAACCATCAAATTTACCTAACTTAACATGTACTCGATTTTACCCGATCTGCCAAGATCCAATTAAAACCTGACCGATTACCTAATTTTACAACCCTAATCTTAGATGACCATCATTTTTTTAACAAGAAAAAAATAAGTACGAAATATATTTAATAGTTGAGAAACTTAACAAAACATCTTATAATTATAAAATTATTTTATAACTTTTAATAATTTAAAACTCAAAATTTGTGTACTTTACACGTAAAATTTTGATATTAGGATGGCTTTTCCATTCAGTACCCACCGCTCGTTAGCAATGCGAAAGCCGAATTTGGTGTTATAAAATGATAATTAAGGTTTCATTTTTCCTTATATAATTACAACCTTCTTCAAAGTCGGATCAGAAACATACACATTGATTATATAATCTCTGCAACAAGTTGAGTAATGAGAACAAATGCCATATTTATAGGAAGCAAGAAAAGAATCTGTATAAATGTATAAACTAAAAAATTCACATTGGCACCCTGGATTTGTACGTTGGTTTTATTTGCAGGATCATGAAAGATACGAATTCATACACTTTAAATGAAAAAGTTCTATCAATTCCAGATATTTGATACTTACAATTTTTTAGTTTGAAGAAGCATCGACCACTTTCGACGTCTTTGGGTGCTTCTTCACCTTCTGCTCAACCCCTAACCATTTTTGAATAAGTTTAAATACAGTTTGGTCGTGTAAAAGTCCGCGATGACTGCTAGGTACTCCTACTCTCTCAACTGCTGCAAATCCATCCGCCTGAGGGAAGGAAACGTTGTTGGTTAATACAGGAGAAATGACTTTCATCAACTATAAAATATCATTGGCTCGCGAAGTGGCGTCGAAAACCACTTGAAATGTACAAATCAAACAACCTCAGCGGTTAAGGGATTTATTGTTATCCCTTGATATAAAAAACATCACTCAAATATTTTTCCCAAATGATTTCAAGGACAATAAAAAACTTTATATAAATAAGTTCAGGTAAATATAAGAATCTAAAGAGTAGTTAAAGATAGTACCATTGCGGATTCTGCAGGAACAGTTCCATCTCCATCCACACAAGTATATTGAGGCTGGAACAAACAAGTACAGCAACAGTAAGGATAAAAGGGTCCAGATTATTTGACCCAAGAGGATATCCTCTAAAATTGAATTTATCACCATAAACATAGCACACAACTCACCATCGTATGACATATTTCTGAGAGGTCCGCTATTGGTGAAGTTTCTGTACCATAATTGTGCATACAAATGCAATTTATGATAAATTTTGTGTTGATTAAGATCAATAATTATGGACACATATTTTCATATATAAAATATGACATAAAATTAAGTGACCAATAATTTATACAAGTCATAAGATATTAGAAGTATCATAAAAATGAAAGTACAAATATCATTAAAGTTACATTTATAATTTGACGAGAGACAAAATTATTAATACATACAACTAATTCTTAAATCAGCTTAAGGGTGAGCAAAACTCGACTCCGAAAAATCGATTTTTTCGACTCGAGAAAACTTGACTCGAATTAACTTAGCGTTGTAATTTCATAAACTTAACTCGACTCGAAAAATATTCAAGTTCAAACTGAATTGTAAAATACAACTCAAATAACTCGAAAAAAATATAAAAAAATAACTCAAGTTTGAGTTAGTCCCTCGACTCTGTATTATAAATGTACATATTAAAAAAATATAAAAAATACACATGTATTGTATATGGTTATAAACAAATCATTTAAATTAGAATCAAATAATATCATAATATTATAAATATTAAACAAAAACTTGAAAATTCGACTCGACTCGAATTTTATAAACTCGACTTAACTCGAAAAATTTCAAGTCAACTTCAAGTTGTAAAAATATGACTCGTCAACTCGAATAATTCGAAATTTTTTTACTCGACTCGATCGAATGCTCACCCTTAAATCAACTATATAAAGAAGTTGTGGCCCCAAAAGATATATCATCTCCTATTTTCTTTATCCCATCGAGAGTTTATACTCTAAAGAAAAATATCTTCTCGGAAGATCTCAACACCAATGTAATCTTCAAGAACTCAACCTTTTAGATAATCTCTAACAATAGATTCAGGTACGATTTCGTAAATCTAATATTTTATTCTTGATTATTTAATATGATTAGATCCTGATTTGCTGTCATGTTTGATTATATTTTAGTTCTAACATTCTTGTCTTTAGAATTGATATAAAACAAATTTAGTTTTAGAAGTCATTTTTAGAGAGAGGCGAACCCAAAATGAAATCATCCCTAATAAATGTCATAGTGATACAATCACATACCAAACATCAAACGGCGTGTCGAACGACGTCCCGTAAATGTTGTAGAAGCAGATCCCACTTGGTAGTTTAGCATTGTTGATAAGCTTGCGAGTTCCAACAGCCCAATTGAGAACAGAGAAGTTGAAAGGTAGAGCTATTGTATTCCCATTATAATCTAACTGCAACAGCACCAAAGAAAACATGTCAGAAATAAGTAAAACAGAAGTACAATTGGAGTGGCGTTTGGTTCAAGGTATCTTACATTCCTAAGGTTAGTACTCCAGAATCAGTGACGGATCCACTCTTAGTTCAGGGTGAGTACGTGACCACCATGAAATTCAAATTTTATTCAGTTAGTTATCTATTTTATTTGTTTCCACCTCATACGAAAATTTTATGTCATTATTGCATGTGTGCCTACCCTCAAAAAAATTCTAGATCCGCAACTGTCTAAAATGATATTCCCCTTTTGGATTTTGAAGATTAACCAGTAATTTTACATTCCTAATATAGCCAAGATTACAAAATATAGGGATAATCGCAATATCACTGTTGCAAGCCAAATGAATAGGTAGGCTTATCTTATCTAAAGTAAAGATAAGGTAGTGTTTTAGTCCTAGTAGGGATGGCAAACGGGCGGGTTGGGTGCGGATACCTCCTCCCCCATCCCCATACCTACCTAATATTTTTCAATCTACCACCCGCCCACCACCCATGATGAGTACAAATTTTCAAATCCACACCCGCCCACACAAGTACATTTTCAAATCCATCCCCACACCCACTACCCACTAGCGACATACCCATCTAGACCCGCCTGACAGCAAACTAATGGGATGTTGGAGTTGGTTCCCAGACAGTTCGTGATAAGGTAGCAGCGCATGCTTCAATTTGTCAGAGGAGTAGCTCTACGAATGTTATGGAGACAGATTGTAGGGAGCATGTAGTCGCAGAGCTGGATTGTTGTGTTGCTTTCGATGTTAATGCTCATAGTGCGCCTAATATGGGTTTTGAGGGGCTAAAGAATATGGAAACTGCTGCTTTTGATGTTAATGCTTATAGTACGACTAATTTGTGTTTGGATGGGTAGCATGGGCTAAAGAACATGGAAAGTGACGTGGTTAGTGGGATTATGAGTTTAATCAAAGAGCCAAATATTTCCCTAATTAAAGACCAAATTAAAGACTAAATATCCTTAATATTTGGATAAATTATATGTTATATACTATGCAATATTAAAATTTATAAATTAGTCTCTAAAATTACACCTAAATTCATAATGGTCCAAAATTTAATAGATATTTAGCTGGGTGGCGGATGTGGGGCGGGCGGATGCGGGGCGGGTAATGTCTTAAACCCATTACCCGCCCACCACCCACGATGGGTACCACTTTATAAATCCACACCCGCCCACTACCCGCTAAAATTATACCCATCCCTTGTAACCCCCTAGACCCGGCCTATGCGTTTCGACTAAGTCTAGTGGATCACATTATAATTATTAAAGACATTTTTCCGAAACCGTTATTCAATCAATATAAAATCACATTATAAATAACATGAAATTATAAACAAATTATACTATCAAAATCCAACTCGTAAATATAGCACCAATAAGTAATAAATTAATTTAAAACATGACTTCAAATTCAAAATCACGATAAACCGAACAGTAATAGCAAAAGTGTCATCATTATAAAAATCCGATATTTTAAAATAAGGTTCATGTCACCAAAATAAAGTCAATTTGCAAGATAAAACATTACAATCAGATATACTTCAAGAGATATGTTGATCCTCCAAGTGCTCGAACCGAGGTATCTAACCAACAGTATCTGAAAGAGGAAAAATATTTTCGAAAGGTGAGCTAGGCTCAGTGTGTCCCAACATTACCATAAAATCACAATAGGTACATTAAACAAATCATAGTCCAGTAAATCTCACAAATTCGTAAAAGAGTTTAACTTTTGAAAATCATAGTTTAAACCCTTTTCTGGTACACCATCAGTAGTTCCCAAAATTATTTTTCCATATAGCTTACTTTATGCACATAGCAAAAAGAAAGACGACTTAAGGATAGGCTATGAAGCTTGTATCCTTAAGCCCAAGTCAATAAGTCCATATAGCTTACCCTAAGCACACAACAAAGGAAAGCTGACCTAATGAAACATCTTGGGGCCCTCAAGAGTCACATTAGGCCCGTTTATTAGCTTGATCAGAGCTATACAATTGTAGTTCAATCCATCCCAAAATCAATATCCATATACCAGTCATCAAAGTCCATAAATCATCAACAATAAATCGGTGTACCAACAATAATAAACCATATATTTCAATGTACCACATTTCAAAACATATAAAACCATTATGTAGTAAACAGGAACACACCTCGATAACGGGTTCAAATAGTAGATCTACTGATTGCTGGTTTCACCACGCTCTGTTACAGTTTTCGAACGGGTGAATACTGGTATACGTGGTTTAACTGATCTAGAAGAGCTGGGTCGAGCTGTCGAACGATCCGGAGAGTCTCTTGTACCTTCAAACAATAATAATTAATCAGCCCCAAATCTTACTTAATTGTTCAAAGCTAGAATTCTTAAGTATATAAGCATTTTTCGGGTTTGACTATCATTTTGAGGTATTTCGAGTCTGAATTTAGCCAAACGGATTGTGGAATCGGAATCAGGACGTCGAAAAACATAAAGTATGACTTTTTGAAAATTCAGATTCTTGGTCAAAGTCAAAGTCAACCACTTTGACCATCGATTTGGAGGCCTTCGGGTTCGAATTTGGCGAAACGGACTGCGGAAATGGATTCGGCACGTCAAAAAATATCATGATAGGTATACTCGGAAAATATTTACGGTCGTTTAAGGGTCGGTCAATGCCATTTTAAGTTTTGGTCAAAGAAAGTCAACAGTCAACGGTCAACGGTCAACGGTCGGGTCGGGTCAGCGGTCGGGTCGGGTTGGGTCAGACTGGTTCAGACCGATCAAATCGGTCAAAACCGGTTGAAAACCGGTCAGACCGGTTTTCTAGCCCTCCACTCTCCCTGCGACGACGCGTGTGGCGCGTGGGACGTCCTCCGGGGCCCTAAAAATTACGGAAAATTTTCTAAAAATTATTTTGAGGGATTTCGAGATACGTACAACAATTGGTTCAAATTTTTGAACGGCGGAGAGCTCGATTTTAACTCGGCCGAATCTATGACTGCTCCACCTCCTCACCCGCCACCGTCGACGGCGAACAAGGTTGACACCGGCGGACTCGAAACGGCACAAGGAACACGATGGTGCAGGAGGTGTCATAAACGGAGCAACGATCGGCGGTGAATTTGAGATTTTCCCGGCGATAGAGCTAAAAAAAAGTCGATACTTTACTTGAAATTCCCGATGTTTGGCAGCGTTTCATTTCAATTAATTTAAGGGGATTGTTCCTGACTCAATAACGAACACGATGGTGATTTCAAAACGACGATCGAAATTCGGACGATGTCGGGATCTAAGTCGGAAACCGGCGTAGGGGGAGGGGATTTGGGGAGTGGTTTTCTGTTTTGAAACACAAAACCACCCCACGTATATATCATCTAAAACTAAACTTATCTAATTTTATTGGGTAAATTCATGACTTAGTCCATGAATTTCCTTTAACTCTAAAACAAGCTCCAAATTTTAAAATCTTTCAATTTAGTCCCCTATTTTCACCAATTTTCACAATTAACCTCCAATTTCAATTAAATATTATTTTATAAATATTCGGGTTGTTACATCCCCGTTCCAATTGGAGCGGATGCGGTGCGAAATCCACGAAACTGTACCCGTTTGCCATCCCTAAGTCCTAGTAAATATATATATACTCGGCCTATAAATAGGCTGCTTTTATTACAATTTATGATCATAAAATTAAGCGAATAAATCAAAATTCTTTCCCAAACCACCTACTTTCTACATTATTCATACTCGGTAATCAAGAATTCCCACTGAGAGCAGAATTGGATTGGAAACAACTCTTACTGTTAAGGACCAATCATTTACTATGTTTTGGCACAAAAATGAAATAACTTGCTATACCAAGTTTCAAACTTCCAAAAACAAAAATAAACAAGCACAGATCGAGAAACAAGAATCACGCGATGAAAGAAGGTTCGTCACCTTTGTTTCAAGAATTTTAAGTGTCCTCAAGCTATATTGAAAGAAAAGTTATCACCTCATTATGCCTTAATGCTTCTTTGAATAAACTGATGCTTTCAGTTGGGCTGTACGACTCCAGTTTCACAGAAGGTTCCCCATCTTCATAACTCCCTCGCCAGACGTTAATTTGTGGTTGCATTTTCCAACTAAAATATGGATTTGGCAACATCTCATACACCGATGGACACTCGACCAACTACACATGAAATCATGAACATAAATATATAAAGTTGTGTTTCATCCAGTGTCTACAAAGCATGTAAATTTGTCAACCAAAAGTCCAAAAAATGTTGACATATGAAGCTTAACGATATATTAAATAACTTTAGACAATCAAAAGTTAGAATTAATAAAAGCCCGTATGAACTAATATGTAAAAGGACACCCAAACATTGCATACCAAGATGCAAGGGGAGAACATGCACTAATCTTTATAAAAAGGTACTCAAGAATTATGTAATAGAAGATTTTGATCTCAATTCAAAGGACATATTTGGTTTTATTAGTTCCCTTGATTTTTGTGAAGATTGTAGATCATAACCATATAAAGTCTGAGGAGTCTGGATTTAGTGTCCTAATGAGTCTGTAATTAAATTTTGTTTAGTATTTAACTTGTACTCGATATCTTATCTAAGTAGAAGATTAGATAGAATGTTGACTAGATAAGTTGACTCCTAATAAGACTCTAAGTATCTTAGAGTATAATTGTATTTCTGTAGTAATCTGTCAATGTTAATAGGCCTTACCATTTGTATTCAAAAGTAAGAAAAATCAAAGAACAAACTTCTCTGTTTCAGAAATTCTTTCATTTATTTCCAAGTTTCTATATGGTATCAGGCTAGTTTCATTCAAAACCTATTCAACGATAAATCAATAAACCTCCTCATCGGAATTCATTCGGGATTTGTACAAAATCCCTCCCAGAACACCATTGTTGATACCCCACTTGTCCCTATCACATGCCACAAACTAAATGGCCACAATTACCTTCTCTAGTCACAATCAGATGTTACACACATCAAGAAGAGGCAAAAATGATATATCTATAAGCAGCAATGTCCATTCAAGAACACAAAAAATATCGACAGTGGAGAAGTAACCAAAGACCAAGTTCTATGGCAGTCGGATCAGATGACGAAGAGCATTATTTTCCTCAAGCATAGCCTTACGCAATCTAGGATTAGCTAATGTCTCGTGGACAGTTTTAGGGAGAAAAACTTTATCTAAGAATGAAAGGAAAGCACGAGAAAAAGAAGACAAACAATTAAAAGAAACAACGGAAAAAAATTGGTATATACAAGCACGTTTACCTTTTTCCATAGCAATAGGAAGATCAAGGTTATCTCTGGAAATCGAATCAGATGATGTAGATACTAGCTTATTAGGACATGATTCTGGGTCTCGAGAACAGGGTCAGAACTAGGCGAACATGGGTGCTCATCAGGACATGGTTCTAAAGTCGTAGAACTAGGTGGACACAGGCGATGCCAGAAGGTGAATTTGACGAGAGGCTTAACCGAAGCGGAATACAGCACACCCAATTTTAAGACATCATCATCCTCCCTTGACTCAACCTGAATTGGAAGTGAAGAGTGTTTGCTCCAAAAAGATAACATCTTCAGACACAAGAAACTTATCAAGGATTTAACAATAACAACGATATCCTTTTTGAACATGAGAATACCCCAAAAACACACTTCAAGAAAGTACGGTTTAAGCTTTATAACTTGACGAAAATCTCAAAAAACACAAGTACAACCAGATATATTAGGTACGATAAGAAGCAAGTTCTTATTTGGAAAAAGAGTATGGAAAGGGATATTATTGAATAAAACCCGATAAAATCAAGAAAAACATATAATAATTAGAAATCTAGCAATAGAGATGGCATCGGCCCAGAAGCATTTAAGAATCAGCATTTGAAATAACAAGGCTCTGGAAATTCATGTCTACCCTTTATCTCAACAACTATGCTTTGAGAAGGAGTGTCGACACAAAAAGTTTGATGGGCTCAAGCATGAATTTCTAAAAAGGTTATGAAAGATATTCTTTAACACTAACACTCCTCAAAATTTAGACAGCTCTACCAAATTGGGTTCAAATTTCAACACGAAAGGAAGAAAAATGAAGAAATAATTTTGAGCAAATTTTTATTAAATAAAGTCAAGTCCTCCTAAAATAAATTTACTAACTCAAAAAGAGTGATAGCTTGCTTATTGATTTGACGATTAGAACTAAGATGATATTTAGAAAACCGACAAGACACAATCTCAAGAAATGCGGGGAAATTAGGACAGTTTTTAAACATAGAAAGTGAATGGTGACCCAAACAACAATATTCGTTTAAAAGAGCAACAGTAACATCACGGTCAATTGATTTAAGTGTTTGGGTATCAAGAATGTAGAGACCATTAAACGAATGTCCTTTACCAATAATCTTCCTCATCGTGAGATCATGAATCAAACAAAAAAAGATGAGACACAACAATTGACGTCAATTGTAAGTTTGCAAACAGAGATTAAATTAAATGATAGTTATGATAGACTCGGATAGAACTGCAGGTTAGAGAGAATGAGTGTGAAAGGTAGAGAGAGAGAGAAAATTTGAAAGAGTCCAACATCTCCGATGAGGAATGGACTGTTTTCGTTGATAATCTTAGCAAGAGGGTTCCAAAAAGTGTGTTAAGGGAATATTTTAGTCATTATGGTCAGGTTGTGAGAATTTTCATCCCACGCTTTTTAGAGAAACCAAAATACAAATCTTCAACTTTGCTTTTGTCCAATATGCTGGTGAAGAAGGCAAAAAAAAAGGCAATCCAGTATGCTAATGGAACATGGATTGATGGGAGAAGAATAACAATAGGGATTGCAAAGTATCAAAATACAAAGAGAAGGATAGCTGCTGAAGGCAAGATGATGTTGGAGAACAGGTCAAGAAAACAGGAAAAAACAAAGATCGGAGGGAATGCCGAGTCCTGGAGAAGTATGAGGGATGGCAGATCGTATAAGGATGTCTTGAATACAATTAGTAATATGAGAAATGATCCAGTTTCAGGGAGGAACATGGAGGGTCTAAAGCAGACTGCAAAAGGAGCTAGGAATGTCTAGGAGATGCATATTCCGACGGAAAATTCAGATTGGGTGAAGAGATCATTAACAGGGATAATCAAATCTTCTTTTGATCAGAATTTGATAAAGAAAGTGTTGGAGTTCGAGGGAATCAAAGTCGAGATAACCAGATGGGATTATGCATGGAATGCTTGTATCATTACATTTAAGACGATTGAAGATTTTTCAAATGTGTGGATGAATAAGAAAGAGAAGTTGTTCTTCTGCTTTGATTGGTTGGCTCCATTATTGAGTGATAATGGACTTCCATTGGCTTTTTGCTAGGTGGTGCTTCATGGACTTCCTTTATTATTCTTGAATGAGGCATTCCTGGAAAAACTTACAGCGAGGTGGGGAAATTTTATATGTTTTAATGATGAATCAAAGAGCAGAGTGGATCTATTAATGGCGAAAGTTATTATCAGGGTGGAAAGTCCTTACGACGTCCCGGAAACGGTTACCATAGGTTCTTATGGCAGATCATTCAAAGTCAAAATAACTTTGGGTCAGTTTTTAAAAAACCAGAAGAATTAGTGGGGAAGAAGGTACAAAAAATTCAGAAGAGTGGGACAGTGATGATGTCTTGTCTAGGGAAGATGATGGCCGGCGTCCTATTCTGGCAACATTTGAAAATCGGGAGTTATCAGAGGAGTCTAGGCTTAAAGTCATCTCTTGGCTGAACAAAGAACAAAATAGTGGTTGGAATGAAGTTAGTGGGAGACATGTCTCATCAAGTAAGTCAAACAAAGAAATTACTAATTGTGGGCTGTCAGGTTTCGTGGAAGAGAATACAGGCCAAAGTGGGAAACACGTGGGTCTGGGGTTGAGGGAATTATTTGATACGGATGCTCTAGCCAATCGGATGATAATTGGTTTTCTTCACAGCCTTTGAAGAAAATCATTCCTGTAGGGTCGACTTATAATTTAAAATGGGTTGGAGAAGGGAAAATAATTCAATTGGTAAATTTCTGCCCCAACCTAATAAGAATTCATTCAATACTGCGGAAGGTACTGAGGAGATTGAAGAGGAGCTGCAGAAGGAAAATTCAAGGGAGGAAAAAGCAGTGTCATCAAATGAAGATGTAGTTGCTATTGGTAGGAAGCTTTCAATCTGTCTAAGGATTCAAGAAGGGATTAAGGATGTTTTTCCAAATATTCATTTGAGCCTAAATGCGGGAAGCAACTCAACTTCGACTTCAAGAGCAATAAATTTTGTGAAACAATATGAAATAATTCCAGTGACCATTATGGAAGGACAAATCAAAGCAAAGGAAAATCAAAAAGCCCCATTCATAAAACTTGTTCAGCTTCTTTCTCAGTCAAAACGTTTCAGCAACCGGAGGAAGTTATTAATTTCTCCACGTCGTTCAGGAAGTGTGCTCAGAGAGTGATAAGTCAATAAGCTTCTTTGATAGAGTTTATAGAAGGGATTTTAGAAGTATGGTCAAGGAGTTTTTGGAACACGACATGGCTTCTCAAATGTCTTCCCATTCCTTTGTTAAAACAAGAGATGAAGCTACAGCTACTCGGGAGGTTTGTAATATGTTGGGCATCACTTTTAAAGGGGGTCAACAATTATTAAAAGAGGAAATCTTGAAGATGAAGCTGAGGGGGTCTGCAAAGGAATTATGAAAAGTATTCCTATTCTAGATTCTGGTTTTTTATGATTTTCAATATTCAATGTCAAAGCTAAAAATTATTTCATGGAACATAAAGGGTCTGGGGATGTAACATCCCAAACTATGGGTTAGTGACTTAATTATAAAGTTTCAGAATTTGGTGATTAAAGTAGAAGAATGGATTAGTTCAATGATTTATCTGGAAATAAATCCTAAAAGATATTAGTAATTATAAAAGGTATTAAAGGGCAAAAGGGTCATTTGACCAAGAGATGAATTAAATAATGATATATATGGATAAGGATGAGAGATTTTCCAGAAATTCTTCTCTCTTTTCTTCTTCATTTTCTTTTTCCTCCCGTGAAAACTCCAAGGCAAAGGTAAGATTCCTTGTTAGCTGATGATTTGTTGATTTTAAGAGTGGGTTTTGATCCTTAGGTAATACTTAAGATTATGGAAAGCTTAGGTT